ATCAACACAATAGATTATGAAAAGATGCGAACCAATAGTGCCAGTTCGCAAGGCTAATTGGTTGACTTCGTTGCTTACGACTTGTATCACATCATGCTTGGATGAAAGTTTATTACAAAGTGAATAAAATGTTCTGTGTATGACCTACGCGCAATTGTCAAATGTTCTGCTATATATAATTCACCGTAAAATCTCTAGGACTTTAACAATGCGTTTTGAATTCGATATATCCGCATAAGGCATATCACCTGTATAGAAAACCGATATATCCAGCCATACAAACCTATCGCATACCCCGGACCCTGTAAGGCACTGTTACTCGCTTCTACCACATCAAAAGAAGAACAAGCAATATTTTATGAGCTCAATATATAATAAGACAACCGGTTTGAAGATTCAAGCATAATGTGCATAGGACTTTTGCTATCTGCATATAAATCAAATTTTGAATTTCTATTCAGGGTAAAGGCTATTTTCTAGAAGCCGGAGCTTTAGGCTTGATGCACACGGCTTTTACTTCTTAAGGGCTAAATGACTAAATGGAGGACTATGGGGGAGATAGAATCAATGATACAGTATAAACTATATGCATATCATTTAACCAAAGTCATTTAGGAATCATTAAAGGCATAGGGGAACTCTAGAGAAAATCGAAGACGGGTTTGCGTAGTGGACAAACATGTTCAAAAGGATTATCATCTCAATGTTTGTCAAAATATAATATGATAACATGATAAAAGTAATTTGTATCGTCCTGCACAAATCTACATAGTTTCGCATAGAATAAGGCGTCAAAACTCAAACCACCTACAACCCTGTATTTACAACATCTTTTATTTGTCACTTCAAATGAACATTTTATCTAATGAATAATTAACAGATAAATAAAAAGCCAAACAATGTGGTCAATATTAGTTTCTAATCGGTTGGGCATGCGCTCTAAAGTGCTTTCAGCTAAAAAACTATTATTTTCCCATCCCCATTGTTGTAGTAGTTGCGGCTGTAGTCGTTGTGGTAGGAGTGGTAGTAGCTTCAGTCACTACAACAATGTTCTGTATAACTTGAGGAGTTCCTCCGCCGCCAGCTGCAGCTCCTGCAAAATACTACATCGTAAAGGGAATTGGTTAGATATTAAGAATGAAGAGAGAATAGATATGCTTCTACACTTACTTCTCTGTTGCGGCGCACATGCGTCGGAAGCAAGGACGCAAATCAGAAGAAGAACAGCTATTTTTGACGACATGCTGAAATTGCTTTGACTGCGCTTCGACTTAGCTCTTACGGGCAAGGAAGAGAGGAAGAACCTTGAGAACGATTGCTTCTCTTGATGTTATCAGCTTTTTTATAACGATGTCGGCTTCCTGTAACCCGTAGGCGGAGTCGCGGGAACGCGTGGCGGAACTTGAAATAAATATGTTAAGATGTACTCATTTTTCCAAGCAAACATTGATTAAGCAGTCTGCACGAGTCTCAATTGTGAGCCACCATACATCTATGGTTAGTCTTCATCGGTAGGCAGCGGTGGCCGTGGAAGCCACCCATACGATAAAGTTGTTATTCATTGCACAAGGAGATAATATGAAGGAGAAACGAATTTTTTTCTGAAGGTAATCTAGGTGCCGAAGGTGTGCTAGAAACCCTAAGCACAACAGGAATTAAGCTCAGAAAGCCCGAACAGACTTGAGTCTTATCCTGTCAATGTATGAGTTCTAACTGCCGGATGGAATATGGGTAGTTCCTTGTTTGCGTTATGTAATAAGGTTTTAGAGAGTCACGAAGCAGCCGAGCCAACGAGGGTGCTATCGGTAATATGATTAAGTGAACGTTGCATTCTTTGCGAACAATAAACCTAGTGAACATATTACACATGCACGCATGTATACTATGTAACAAAAGAAATAACACCATCGTGTGCCCACATGATCCTAGACAAGCTCAGCTCACATGAGTTACATCATAGAGCACACAAACATCTCTTCTCCCCCTCTCCTCCTCTCCTTTGTGACACATCTGCATCAA